GAGTCAGGAGCCTCCTTCAGATCTCTCATGTGGGTGTAGAGTCCCAAGGCCTTGGGCCATCCTCCACTGCTTTCCTAAGGGCATAAGCTGGGAGCTGAATGAGAAGCAGAGCAGCTGGGACATGAACCAGCACCCACATGGGATCCCAGTCCTTGCAAGGAGAGGATTTAGTTATTGCTTCATAGCGCCAGGCCCAAGGGAAGCAGTTTCAGAGCCCTCTCTACTTTACCTCCTTTTAGTTAAGGCTTTATCTGTGGTAGATATCCAGGACATATGCTATGTGTTGGATTTTACAAAGAATGAGAGGGAGAAAGAATGAGAATAAGAGTATTTTTAAAGCTTGTAGAAAAATGGGATTAAACATTTATTTTAGTAGAAAAAGAGTTTTAAAATCCATGCATAGTTTTTTTTCATGATATATACTTCCCATGAGCTTTTTGAAGACTCTTGAAATGCATACAGTTTTTTTTTTTTGCAGAAACATACATTTTAAATTTGCTTGAAGATTTATTTTATTTTTATTTTAAAGGCAGAATTAGAGAAAGAGATCTTCCATTCCCTGGTTCACACTCCAAATGGTTGTAATAGCTGGAGCTGGACTGAGCTGAAGCCAGGAAAAAGAAGCCTTCTCAAGGTCTACCACAGGGTGGAAAGGCCCAAGGACTTAAGCTATCCTCTTCTGCTTTTCCAAATGATAAGCAGGGAGCTAGATCAGAAGTGGAGCAGCTAGAATACAAACCAGTGCCCAAACTTGAGCCAGCATCTCAGGCTGAGGCTTAACATACAACATCACAGCACTGCCCTCCCAAATACACATATTTTAATCCTATTTTCCATGAACTTTGTAGAGGATCCTTGCATTCTCTTCAGGGGAAATAGACAATAAGTAAATAAATGAGCATGTGCTATGGAGAAAAATAATAAGAGAGGTAAGAATAGGGCCCGCGTGATAGCATAGAAGTTTAAGTCCTTTGCACCTGCTGGGATCCCATATGGGTGCTGGTTCTAATCCCGGTGGTCCCACTTCCTATCCAGATCCCTGCTTGTGGCCTGGGAAAGCAGTAGAGGATGGCCTAAGGCCTTGGGAGACCTGGAAAGAGCTCTCGGCTCCTGGCTTCGGATTGGCTCAGCTCCAGCCATTGCAACCGCTTGGGGAGTGAACCATCAGACAGAAGATCTTCCTCTCTGTCTTTCCTCTTCTCTGTATATCTGCCTTTCCAATAAAAAATAAATAAAATCTAAAAAAAAAAAAAAAAGAAAGGCAAGAATATTGAAGAACGTGTTGCCATTTTCTATTGGATATTCCTCCTCACTTGTAAGGAGGAATTTAAGCAGAAATTTGAAATCATGGGGTCTTCTTGTGGACATTTGATAGAAAAGTGTTGGGCCCGGTATGAGGGCCTACTGGCTAAATCCTTGCCTTGCACATGCTGGAATCCCATATGGGTGTCAGTTTGTGTCCCAGATGCTCCACTTCCCACCCTAAAGAAGCTCCTGGCTCCTGGCTTTGGATCAGCTTAGCTCTGGCCATTGCAGCCACTTGGGGAGTGAGCCAACAGACAGAAGATCTTCCTCTGTGTCTCCTTCTGTTTGTAAATCTGCCTTTCACTAAAAATAAGTCAATAAATCCTTTTTTTTTTTTTTTTAAAGAAGAAGAGTATTTACTTCTCTGTTCACCTGAGAGTGTAAGCCACCAGTTGTCCCTGGCATCCTTGATCTTCACAAATTTTATCTGAGCAGAGGATCGCTGAAAATAAGTACTGAGTTTCTCTGTAGCTTTCCTTATAGCTCCTTATCACTTGATGTGGCCATATGATTGAGTAATGGATGCAATTGTCATGTTATGTTCTTCATAAAAGGGAAAGGTATACCTTCTTTTTCTTTCTCCCTATCTTACTGACATGAGCTTTAGCAGATGTGGTTGTAAATTCTTGGATCTTAAAAACAAGGACTATTTCCTTGGAGATAGTGGAATAACTAAACGATAATTAAAAAGCTACCATACAGAGTACTTGTGCTTGGACAGTTATGTAAGAGAAAAAAAAATAAGCTGCTTTCATCTTTTTGGTCATTGTCCACGTGTGAGTGTGTGTGTGTGTTTGAATGATAAGTATAGCCTGGTGTGGTAGGTACAATTTAAAATTATCTCTAAGATTTCCTGCCCTTTGGTGCACATGGTGCACTCTGAATATGATAGATTTTAGGTTGTATCATTCGGCATAGTAGCCCATAAGAAAGGGAAACTGAGGGCCCAGCGTGGTAGCCTGCTGGCTAAAGTCCTCACCTTGCATGCACTGGGATCCCATGTGGACCATGGTTTTAATCCCGGTAGCCCCACTTCTCATCCAGCTCCCTGCTTGTGCCTGGGAAAGCAGCAGAGGACAGCCCAAAGCTTTGGGACTCTGTGCCCGCATGGGAGTCCCAGAAAGAAGTCCTGGCTCCTGGCTTTGGATCGGCTCAGCTCTTGCTGTTCCGGACACTTGGGGAGTAAATCATCCGACAGGAGATCTTCCTCTCTGTCTCTTCTCCTCTCTCTATACCTGCCTTTCCAATAAAAATTAAATAAAACTTTAAAAATGAAAGGGAAATTGGCTTAGCCAAACAAGCCCTTTAAAAGCAGGGAGTTGTTTGTTTTTTTTTTTTTTTTGGCTGGTGTAAAAGAGGGTATCAGAAAAATCTGAAATAGAAGGATTTGAGACACTTGCTGTCTTGAAGAAGGGAGGAGCATGCGATGAGGAAGGAGGCAGCCTGCAGGAGCTGAAAGCGCCTTGTGTGGAATGGCCAGAAAAGAGCAGGAACTTCATGTCCTGCACCTGTAGGAACCGAGTTCTGCCAATAAAAGGAATGTGAGGAGTGGTGGATTTCTTCCCCAGAGCCTCTGGGTGAGAGCTCAGCCTGCTCAGCACGTTGATTTCAGGTTTATGGCACCCTGGGTAAAGACCACACTGATCTGTGATCTAGCACACTGGTCTTGGTTTTAAGCTGTTTAACTATGATAACTTAGGGCTACAGAAAAGTGTGTGTTTGTACAGGTTCTCCAAACAACCAACAGGCTGAGAAGTCCTACAATTCACTGTCTGCATACTGGAGAACTCTAATTTGAAGGCCTGAACCCCAGGAGCATTGGTATCTGGGACAGGCAAAGATGAGTATCTCAGCTCAAACAGTAAAATCACCATTCCTCTGCCTTTCTATTCGGATGCTGGACGGTGTGGAGCCTCTGGCTACCTTGGTGGGAGTGAACTTTGCTCAGGCTGTTCCAAATTCTCCTCAGAAAGTTCTCATGGACACACATAGGAACAACGTTTTAGCAGCTATGTATATCTCTTAGCCACGTCAAGTTGATAGAACATTAGCCATCATAACATCACAACTTGCATATCTCCTAACAGGTATGCAAGCACAGCTCACAGTAGGTATGGAGGCTCCTCGGTGAGAGTGTCACTGCATGATTCAGCACGAGTGACTACGGATGGAGCCACAAAGCCATGGAACAGCAACTCACAAGCCTTGGCAGGACTCCGGCTTTTCCCTGTGGGAATGAGACGAAGCAGTGTTAGTGAGTTTTGAGCAGAAGAGTGATAGGAACAACTATACTTGAAAAGGGTCCTTGGATGCTCCCTGAAAGCTACAAGACAGGGTGTTAGTCAGGAAGCCCTGGGAGATTCCAACTGATAGATAGTATCACTTTAAACCAGAGCTATAGTACCTCAAGTGGCAAGAAATAGTTGCATCTGTATCTACTTTGAAGATATGGTCAACAGGATTTCCTCAAAGGCACGTGTGTGTGTGTGTGTGTGTGTGTGTGTGTGTGTGTGTGTGTGTGTGTGTAAAAACAGAGAATAGGACACAGATGACACCAAAGTTTTAGTGTAAGCAACTAGAAAAACAGACTTGCCACTTCCTGAAGTTGGGACGACAGTGAACAAGGTTTCTTTTTGAGGAGGGAGTTAGTTAGGAGTCTGGTCTGGGACCTGTGAAGTTTTCAAATTTGAAATACTTACAGATATCCAAGCGGAAACATCAAGTACACAGTGGGATATACAAATCAAGATTTCTGAGGAGAGATAAGCCTGAACGAGTTGTTTGTTTTAATTATTCAGCTAAAATTTGAAAATCAGTCACACTCCTCCCACATACCCTCATTCCCCTATTTTGAGTTTCTTGAGATGAAGGGTTTTGTGTTCCTCAGACCTCATCTTAGGAGGTGGGATGGTGCGGGGTGGAATACTGGATTTAACTTCGACTCAAGGAAAAACGAAGTACCGGGATGACAGCTGCTCTCCCCGATCCCCTGTCAGGATTGCTAAGTCCCTGGACCTCACGCACCCCCAGGTCCTCCGCACCCCTAGGTCCTCCGCCAGTCTCCCCCGGCTGGCAGCTCCTCAGGGTGGGCGCGGGCCCCGCCCCTCCTGGCGGGGATCCCGGGCTGGCCCCGCCCACGCTCGGCCTGGCCCCGCCCCCTTGGAGCTGCCGAGGCTCGGGCCTGTGAGCGTGTGGTAACCGTTCTAACAGCCGGGAGGTGCGAGGGGGACCTGTGCTCAGGATCCGCCTTCTTTTGTGCCCCAGGACCAGCTCTGCCCTTTAGGAAGGCCCCTCCCCCTCGGGGCCGCCTCCTCCCCGCTCCTCAGCCGGCTCCTTTGTCCCTTCTTCCCCTCGGCGGCGTCCCCCACCCAGCTTCCCCACCGAGGGGTTCTTCAGCTGAGCCGCCCCCTCCAATTTCTGTCCTGCAGACCTCCTCAGCCTGTGGGCGAAGACGTCACGGGACTGAGTTTTGCGGCTTCCTCGGTTCCCCCCACTTCAGGCGGATTGCCTGCCCTCATACTGAGTGAGGTTCACTGGGTTCTCCCGGTCCTGTCGGGGTGCCAGTTTGCTTGTTCCACTGACTACAGGTGTGTGTGTGTGTGTGTGTGTGTGTGTGTGTTTTCATGTGCCTGTGTGTGTGTGAGCCTGTGTTTAACACCCAAGTCTGAGTTCCTTCACTTCTCCAGCAGGCACTCCCTCACTATGCAACCTCAGCAGCAGCAGACCAGGCTGTCTTCCCTTCCCGTGCCTCCTGTCCCCCTGGAGCCAGGTGAGGGGAGCTGGGTCCTGGAAGGGGGTCCCTGCCTCAGACCTGGGGCTGCTGCTTCTGCGAGGGGCTCTGGAGAGGACTCTCAGGAAAAGCCCTCTGCTGGTCTGGCTCTGCCCTGCACTTGCAGCCATCTCCCTTCAGTCCCTTCCTCGCTGTTCCCCCACAAAGCTGGTGGACTCCGCCGGCCCCTTGCCCAAAGCCCGAGAGCCCTTCTCCTATTCCTCTCTTGGGCCAGGTTCCGCAGGTGAGGCTCGGCCGGCGAGAGCCTGGAACTGGCAGTTGAATCCTGAACTGTGGGCAAGGTCACTTCGGCAGCAGTTGCAAGCCCAGCTCCTCTTGGTCAAGGAGGAGGAGTGGGTAGGTACGTCTCCTGGTGAAACATTATCCGATGCCATTGAGTCTTGGCAGTCCATATGTGTCCTGCGCAGCAAAGAGCAGCCCGAGGCTCGCCAGAAAAAACAGAGGCAGTTCCTCCAGGCGGTGCCTGAGACAGAGCAGCCCACAGTACTGGAACTCCTGCTAGCTGAGCTCAAAGCTCTGTTCTCAGCCACGCTTCAGGACCGCAGCCCCGCAGCTTGGCGCTACCTGCATGCAGTACTGGGTCTGCTGCCTCCGTACCGTGAGTTACTTGTTGGTCACCTGGATTTACTGCCCTTCCTGGAGCAGCTGTACTGCTGGGCACCCTGGGTCCAGTGCCACCTCCAGCTAGACCTGCTAACTGCCATAGATCAGGCCTTTCCCCCAGACTACTCTTTGTTAGACAGTGCCTCCCATGTTGACTGTGGCCCCCGAAAGAAGTTCTATCATAAGCACCCCTGCCCAGTCTGCCCTTTGGTGCAGGCCCGATGGGGTGGGCAGCAAGTAAGGGACAAGTTGGCCACCTGGCTGCGACCACTGACTTTACCTGAACTTCAGCACTGCTTGGGCATCGTTGGTGCTGAGGTGGCCCTAGAAGAGGCCCATTGGATGGATGGTCTTGGTCTCCTGCCCTTGGCACTGGCAACGGACATCCCCATACAGTATGAAAAGGTTGATACCAACAGAGCAGTGGGAGAGCCTGCTGAAGGAAGAGACAAGAGGTGAGTGAGGGGCTTGCCTGGGGTTTTGAGCAGAGATCAGAGCCTGTTTGTGGTGCCTCTGGAGTCAGTTCCTTATTGATTAGAGGGCTTCACCTGACCACGTGCTGAGCTCCTGTGAGGCTGCTGTTTTTTTCCTTTTTGTCTTCAAAATAAACCCAGTGTTTCACTGTGAATCCCCATAGGTGAATGCAGAAATTGAGGAAAATAAAAAATCAGCCATGAAGAAGCCACAGTTTCAGAAAACAACTTGACATTCGACAGTTAGCACACTTCTTTCTCAGATAATGCCAGAAGCCTCTTTAGTTCTCTTTCTCATGCATTCATAATCACTAGAGTCTTGCCTCTCTGCCCACCTTGCAGTGTATCCTACAGGCTGGTACAGGGGTGGTGAGTGCCTGTTGCCCACCTGCAGTGTATCCTACAGGCCGGTACAGGGGTGGTGAGTGCCTGTTGCCCACCTGCAGTGTATCCTACAGGCTGGTACAGGGGTGGTGAGCGCCTGTCTGGGTGCTGCTCACACATCTGAGCGAATTTAGCTCCAGGGCAGAGTTGAGTAGGCAATGCTGCTGGGTAACATCTCTTTCGAATCCAATAGTTTTCTTTCTTTTTAAATATTTATTTGAAAAGCAGAGTTAACAGCTGTTACTCTCTTTAGGATGTCAGAATGCCTATGGAGGCCTCCTGTCCTGAGAGTTCTTTAATGTTGGGGTTTCCTTCACCCTGTGGCATGATTTTCTGGATGCTTTGTAGCTTGTCTAAGGCATATTTGCTGTCTAGGGAAAAGGCTGGTTTTACCTTTAATCCAACTTAGCTCCCTCAATTTTTGTTCCAAAGTTATGACTGGGTGAAGTTTTCCCTGAAAGCTTTGGAGTCCTTCCTGATAGTCAGGTTCCTGGAGTGAACACTAGGCAATACTTTTCCTTTTGCTTAAGATTTATTTATTTGAAAGTCAAAGAAAAAGAGAGCTCAATTTTGCATCTACTGGTTCACTTCCCAGATGCCCACAACAATCAGGGCTGAGCCATGCCAGGCCAAAGGCAAGAGTCAGGATCTTCTTCCATGTTTCCCAAGTGAATGGCAAGAGCTCAAAACACTTGGCCTATTTTCCACTGCTATTCCCAGGGCATTAGCAGAGTTGGTTTGGAGGTAGAGCATCCAAGACTTGAACCATGTCCTTTTGGAATGCCAGTGTCACAGGCAGCAGCTTAATATGATACACCAAAATGCTGCGCCTACTTTTTCAAAGTTACTTTTTACTCCGCATGCAGCTTCCTTTCCTGAGGGAACTTAATTGAAATGATAATGGACTGATCTGTTCTCTGCCCTCTTTGAAAATAGTAGTAAATCTGGGCTCCGCACAGTAGCCTAGTGGCTAAATTCCTTGCCTTACATGTGCTGGGATCCCGTAACAGCACTAGTACTAGTCCTGGCTGCCCTGCTGCTCATCCAGCTTTCTGCTTGTGGCCTGGGAAAGCAGTTGAGGATGGCCCAGAGCCTTGTGCATCTGTGTGGGAGACCCGGAAAGAAGCTCCTGGCTCCTGGCTTCAGGTAAGCTCAGCTTCGTCCATTCTGGACACTTTGGGAGTGAGTCAGCAGATGGAAGATCTTCCTCTCTCTTTTTCTCCTCCTTTCTGTATATCTGACTTTCCAATAAAAATAAATAAATCTTTTTTAAAAAGTAGTAAATTTGAATATGAATCATTTCCTGTTAAGTTCTCCAGAACCAGCTAATTCCTCAATTTGTGACTTTGTAAGTAAGGATATATGAATTAATTGATGCAAGGAACATATAATTGCAAATTTTAATAAATTCTGTAAAATAACACTACCTGGTGGCCTGGCTATTTCCCTGGTGTGTGTGTGTGTGTGTGTGTGTGTGTGTGTGTGTGTGTGTGTGTGTGTGTTGTATGCTTAGGAGGAAGCCTATTGGAGGAGTTTGGATCAAGATTAGGTTAGCAATTTATCTTTTGTTTAGGAGATGAAATAAGAATTTAAAAGAGAAGGAAACAAGTGATGTTGTATGCAAGTGTCTTAAAAGATCATGAGTTAGTAACAAGGAAATGGTTGGTGAGAGCAGATTCATTAGTTTTGTGGAGAGGAAGCCCCTTATAATACATTCAGGAATGGAAAGGGAAAGAGATAGTGAGACAGTAGCTTGAAAGCATTTTGGTGCCTTTTTTGGGCTCCTTTTTTTGGGACTGTCTTAAAGATAGGGAAATGTTTACAGCCCTCGAGGCAGTGCTTCAAAAGTAGGTACTAGATAAATAATTATCTGTAGACTGAACAAATAAGCACATTAAGGTAAGGAGATTAAAAATACATCTTAGAGGGAGGTCAAGGGTTTCAGAGACAGAGGGAGGAATTAGCTTTGTAGAAAAGAATGCATACCCTTACCGCTCAAACTGAGGGTCAGATAATGATGTGGGAAAGCAACTATAATTGAATGAGTTAGGTCATGACTTAGCATGTGAATTTCCCTGAACAGGGAAGCAAGCAGAGAACAATATTAATCTAGGAGCTTGATAGGGACAAGCTAGGGACTTGAGCAGGGTAGTTTCCTGGGAACTTGCACTAAGTCATCAGAACAGATTAAGCCCCCGGCTGCGATTGGACAAGGACTGACAAAGGAGCCAGTATTCCTAGTTCTGTGATATGAGGGACCCTATTGAGGAAATAGACCCATAATGATTGTTATACCACTTAAGATACACTTTGATTCAACATCAAAGCCATAATAAATCTGATTGTTGATATGAACTCTAGAATAGGATTGCACTGTTATCTCAAGGATAACTTATCCTGTTGATCTAAGTTTGGATCAATCAATTATACTTTGGTTAAGTCTAAATTAAATTATTGCTAGCACGTGTGTGCTGTGAGATCATTCCAAGCAAAAATATTCATCTTCTGGATTCTTATACTTTTCCTGCCAAGTTTGCTGTGGTGGGAGAGTAAGAAGATGAGAGTTATAGTATACGGTTAGGAGATTTGAAGAATGCACCATTGGATCTTCACTGGAAAGGAAATGATATGAAGCAAAGAGTTTGCATGATTATGGGAGCAGAACAAAAATTATCATGGGAGCAAACATGATTTGGGGAGAACGTAGAGTTGGAAGCCAGGTAAAATGAGAGCAAAGATACAAAATCAGATCTAGAAAGTTAAGAAGGTTTAAAGGAAAAATTCAGGACTAGTAAGTTAGAAAAACAAAATCTTCCTATTACTTGTGTGGAGTATTATGCATTACTGACTTCAGAGTAATCACAATAAATCCAGAATGATTCATTTATCAGAAAAAGAGATGTTCTTGCATTTGTCCACATAATACAATCACCTAACTGTTGTTTAGTGGACTGTATTTGCTCATTTTGTGACATCTTTGGATTAAGTAATAGACAAACTCTGACAAAGCCTCACTGAATCCTCTCGGGGATTTGATCTAGCCCCTTCCTTCACTGTTCTACATGGCAAGACCCATCTCTAGCTACCTGACCTCTTTGCTCTGCCTTTTCCCTCCTATTGTCATATAGGTCTCAGCCAGTCCATAAAGTCCCTATGAAGAAGACCTTCACCAAAAAAACCACTGGTTATCTACCTAAGGTTTCTGCCCAGGGCAGAGAAGTGGTAAACATTCTAAAGACAGAGAAATATCTGAAGAAGATCCATTTCCTCTATCTTAATGTGGCACCCAGCCGCTACTTTAGGTAAGAGCCTGTGTCCAGGCCTCTTCTGTGTCTCCCACTCCCCGATTTCCTTCCGTGATAGCGCTCCCTCTCCATCCCCACCCCCAGTCCTTTCTCCACCGAATCCTCCCCTGTCTTCCATTACCCACACCATTCTCCTCTGCTCCCCACCTCCTTTTTGCTTCCCTTTGCTCTCATAGCCTTTTGGCTTAGTCACCCTTTTCATACTTTTTCCTCTGTTTTACAATGATGGAAACATTTAGTAATAGTCTCAGAGGGATTTAATGGTTATTTCTTCTAACTCTCGTGCAAGAATCAGGTGTTTCAGTCTTTGCAGTGCTGGGGAAGCTTATTTTTCTATTCATTAGGCTGACTGAAAATCTACGTATAACATCTACCTCCTGGTCCTACATTTATCTATAAGATTTTAAAAGCAAATTTTCTCCCATATGACTCAAGGTGCATTTATTTCACTGTCACTCATGTATATGTGTGGGTTTGTATATAATATATATATAATTTATATGTGTGTGTTATTTAACCTCTCATGTATATGTGTATATATATAATATATATAATTTATATTTATATGTGTTATTTAACCTCTCCATACTTACTCTACACATCTCATATGAATTATATATATATTTAATATAAATGCCATATATGTGTGTGTGTATATATATATATATATGAGACAGTGAAAGAGAGAAAGATCTTTCATTTGCTGGTTCACTTCCCAAATGGCCACAGTGGCCTGAGCTGAGCCAATCTGAATCTAGGAGCAAGGACTTTCCTCCAGGTCTTCCTCACAGTGCAGGATCCCAAGGCTTTGGACCATCCTCTACTGCTTTCCCAGGCCACAAGCAGGGAGCTGGATGGGAAGTAGAGCAGCTGGGGTACAAACTAGTGCCCATGTGGGATGCTGTGTTTAGCAGGTAGAAGATTAACCCATTGGGCTATAGCACTGGCTGCTCACTGTCTCCTGTTTTTAAAATTGTTTCAAATCTTACTCTTCCCAGAAATAATACTAATGATTCCCATCAGCCACATTATTTTACTTACCAGGCATTTGTTATTGACAATGTGCTGTGTTATTTAATCCTCTCCTACCAGTAGGTGCTGTTATTTTCATTCATATGAGATGTGGAGACTAAGTATGGAGAAGTTAATAAACTTTTAGAAAGATTTATTTATTTTTATTTGAAATGCGGAGTTAACAGAGAGGAAGAGAGGGAGAGAAGGAGAGGGAAAGAGATATTTTCAATCCATTAATTCAATCCCCAAATGGCTGCAGTAGCTGGCCAGACTGAAGCCAGGATCCTAGAAGCTCCACTCAGAGCTCCCGTGCGGGTGACAGGAGCCTATGTATTGCTCTGTCCCCTACTCCCTTAAGTAGTATGCTAGGAGGAACTGAATCAGAAATGGAACAGCTGGGTCTAGAACCAGTGGTCATATGGGATGCCAGCATCACAGTGCAGGGTCCCAAGGCTTTGGGTCATCCTCCACTGCTTTCTAGACCACAAACAGGGAGCTGTATGGGAAGTGGAGCAGCCAGAACATGGTTTGGCACCCATATGTGATGTAGGTGCTTGCAGGTTAGAGGATCAGCCACTTGAGCTATATTGTCAACCCCAAGACTTTTTTTTAAAGCAAAACAAACCAAATCAAAACACTTTATGAAATTTACTTTGTTGAAATGTCTGCAGTGATTCCTGTCTTCCTGAGTAGACCCCACATGCAGTATTGGGTATCGTAAGAGGGCCCAGGAAACAATCCCCAAATGGGAGATTCTCATGTTGGTTTGGTAGTGCCTTTGGCTTTGAATAATATTAAGTTGCTTGCTAATGGGCAATAGGATTCTGGTGATACACAACATGTAGCTGCATCACTTCAGGTTGAATGTGATGACTTAACTACTGATAGCTAGAGTCTGTTACAGTTGATCCTCAGAGCAATAACAATAGCAATGATAACAGTGTGGGATGGATGTCCACGATATAGTGTCAGAGTTACAGAAAGCACATGACAAGCTTAGGCTTTAGTTTATCAGCATCAATTATAATAGAGATGCATTACAATAAAAAATGACAAGACCTATAAAGAAGAAAGAAACATAAGAACTCAAAGGGAACAGACTAAGTACTGGGCCTGTGATTAGAGCTTGACAGATCTACTGAGGAAGGAAGCCCAGAGGACTGAGTTGACACTTTGCCAAACTAAAGTACTTGTCAATTCTAGTAGAGGTAGATGTATGTCAATTTTACTACACGTTCCTGAAAGACCGAGAAGAGGAACCAAGCTTTTTACAGATTCAGGGAACCAAACGGGCAAATTTCAATTCAGATTCTACCTAAGGGAAAGGTTTATTTTGGATTCTACATTACTCTTTTTAAAAAATTATTTAGTTTTATTTGAAAGGCAGATTTACAGAAAGAAGGAGAGACAGAGAGGTCTTCCATTCGCTGATTCACTCCCAAAATTGCTGCAGAGACTGGAGCTGAGCTGATAGCTGGAAGCCAGGCATTTCTTTCATGTCTTGCATGAGGGTACAAGGGCCCAAATACTTGAGGCAGTGCTGTCCCAGGTCATAAGCAGGGAGTTGGATAGGAAACAGAGCAGCCTATCCAACACCCATATGGGATGCCAGCACTGCAAGGTAGAGGATTAACTGTTGAGTCACCACTCTGGCCCCTACATTGTTTTTGTGTTGTAACCATTTAAGATTCCAACCTAAAACTCAGAGGATTTTATGTGTGGGTTCTCTGAGATGTTCAAGCGGAGACTTTACATTTTACCCAGATATTTAGCTTAGCTTTGCAACATGAGTAGAAGGAGAACCCTGTCACTTGTGGCTTCGTTTTATTTGCCATGCTATGGACTTTATAAAAATATGTTTAGACTTGGACTGACGTGATGGCTTTACTGGCTGATCCTTTGCCTGCAAGCGCTGGCATCTCATATAAGCACCAGTTCATCTCCCAGCTGCGTCACCTGCCATCCAACTCCCTGCTATTGCTCTGGGAATGCAGTAAAGGATGGCCCAAGTCATTGGGACTCTGTACCCATGCAGGAGACCCAGAAAAGCTCCTGGCTTCCAACTTCAGATCAGCTCAGCTCTGGCTGTTGTGGCTACTTGGGAGGTGAACCAGCTAATGGAAGATCTCTGCTGTTTCTTCTTCTGTCTGAAAATATTTTTGCAATGAAAAGAAATCAATCCTTTAAAAATAGATTTAGACTTATTGTATGTTATCTTTAAAATTTTTTAGATTTGTTTATTTTTATTGGAAAGGCAAATATACAGAGAGGAGGAGAGACAGAGAGGAAGATCTTCTATCCAATGGTTTGCTCCCCAAGTGGCCACAACAGCCTGAGCTGAGCCAATCTGAAGCCAGGAGCCCAGAGCCTCTTCCAGGTCTCCCATGCAGGTGCAGGTTCCCAAAGCTTTGGGCCGTCCTCGACTGTTTTCCCAGGCACAGGTAGGGAGCTGGATGGGAAGCAGAGCTGCCGGGATTAAAACCAGCATCCCATGGGATCCTGGCGCGTTCAAGATGAGGACTTCAACTGCTACACTCTTGCTGGGCCCTAGACTTATCTTAAAAATCTGTGTGTTTGTCCTGGATTTTGATTCACTTTAAGGGGAAATTTATTCATTCAGCCCCTAAGAGGCTTTGCTCAGTTTTCTATCTTTACCACCCCATTTAAATGTGGAAGGGAACTCTGAGACTAAGGAATTGTATCATGAAAAATAAAGAATTTTTTTAAAAGACTGTACTTTTTTCTCCTGTGGCACATGCAGTCTCCCTTTTCCTGCTCTTTTCCCTCATCCCTAACATCTATTATGCTTATCATTTTTTTTTTCTTTTCCAGGGGAATGAGAATTCTATCAGGGCAAATTTTTTTAAAAACGAGTTATTTCTCCATTTTGAAGGTTAGAGTTACAGAGAAGAGGGAGGGCCAGAGTTCTGCCATGCACTAAGTCATACCTAGATGAGTGTAATGGCAGGGCTGGCCAGGTTGAATATAGAAACCAGGAGCTTTTCTCAGGTTTCCCATGTGAATGCAGGGGCCCAAACAGTCAGGTCATTCTCCAGTGCTTCCAAGCTACATTAGCAAGGAGCATGTTGCACCACAGAGCTGGACCCTATCTAAGTCTTAAATCACTTGATTAAACATATACTCCAGAAAGTTGAGAAAGATGAGAGGAAGAGGAGAAACATTTTACCTCTTAGGCATTATAGACATAGAACCTAGGACACAGATTTCAAAAATCTATACAATGCCTAAAAAATAGTACAGGTTCTGGGGCCTGGTGTTGGAGTACAGCTCATTCAGCTGCTACTAGCAATACAGTAGCCCATGTGGACATCCATCCCAGTTCTAGCTACTCAATTCCCATCCAGCACCCTGCTGACATACCTGGGAAAGCAGTGAAAAAGCCCAATTTCTCAAGCCCCTGTACCCATCTGGGAGACCCAGATGGAATTCCTTGCTCCTGATCTTGGCCTGGCCCAATTCTGTCTATTGTAGCCATTTGCTGAATGAACCAGCATATGGAAGATCTATGTCTGTCTCCCACAGTCTCTGTAACTCTGTGTTTCAAATAAATAACTGCATATTTTAAAAAGATGACTAGATCAGTTATGAAAACTATAAAATAAAAATAAATTATTTACTAAATGTTATCAAGTATAGCATTCTATTAACTGGTCTGCTGGAATTAGATACAGCTATTCTATAGCTACATGTAAATTGCTTTTGATGCAGGGTCCAGGTGCATTTTTCTGAAGGTGGAGTGGCCAAGGTCTGTTTGGACTTTAAGATTGCCCTGCAGTTACTTGGCTGGCATGCTAGGATGCTAGGTTTCAGTTTTCATTTGTTTTTTGCCTGTTTATGGTTTTCTACACTCTCCCTTGCTTTTTTTCCAAACTCGGTTGCTTCAAACAATATTCTCTGATGATCTGTGCCCGTTGTTGTAGCTCCTAGTTGTATATGTATCTTATTGTTTTTAAAATGAGCATTTTTTTTAACATTTCAACATCTCTGATATTGTGCTGCATCTTACAAAAGGATCAAGTATCATATTGGAAGCAGTTTTTAATCTTGCTTTTTTCCCTAAAACTAAGTGTTTTCATATAGCCTTATATTTAATGAAATGTAAGATGTCAGGGTCTGGATAGAAGAATTTCTTGGAGCTAGACAGGTGCCTTTTTCTGTGTTTCCAGCTATCACTGACTTCAGTTTATATGTTCCATCTTTCTAGTCTGAAAATTGCTCTGCTCTCTTTCCCCTCTTTTCACCTTCTTCTGCTTTCCTTTCTGCCTCTTTTCCCAACATCTGCCATCCTTGTGTTACCCCTTCTTGAAGTCTGTGCGAGTTGCCACGTTTCCCACTGATCAAAGTTTTTTTTTTTAAAGGCCCTACAACCTGAAGGTAGTGCCACCAAGCAAGGTGAATCCTGAGCACTACATCTTCTCCCCCTTTGGGATCCTGCATATACACCCTGAGGAGGGCAGTGAAACAATGACCCTGGGTACCTGGCACCGCCACTCTGTTCTCTGGCAACAGCTCCAGTTCATTCCATTCTTTAAGTATTGTCTCTTACGTAAGGCCTTTGCCAGGTGAGTCAGGATGGGATGTGATCTGGGGTGGAACTGGGCTGGAGAAGCAGTGTATGATCCCTGATCTTTCATTTGTAGCTGGAAGAAGAATGTGAGGTTACAGCAGCTGCATCAACTCCAGAATGTCATTGGGGATCATCTGCTCTCAGCTGTGCCCCATTTTGGTGCTGGGCTGCTCCACATTAACAGGTTAGGTCTTAAAAACATGACTGACATCCATGTTTTAAAGCTAATTTACCTAAGGTTACAGCCTATTCATTGTAGAAAAGATGGCCAATGCAAACACACCATAAAGAGAAATATTCTGATCTGAATAACTGCTATGAAAATTTTGTCTTCTAGCATTTTCCTGTTACAAAGACAAAATATGATCCTAATTTATATGTTGTTAAATAACTTGTTTTTCCCTGAATTATAGTTTCCAAATATATCTCAATGTGATTAAACATTTTTGTATACCACCATGCTCCAGAACATAATTGCCAAGTTTGGAGTTCTAATTCAGGCATCTTAACCCAAATTCTCTTCTCTTTCTGTGATATTATTTGGATTCTTGAATGGCAGGAAGGGGAGGGAGGGCAGATTGATTAGTCCTGTTTTTCAGTGCTTCCTGGCTTTCTCTGCACCAACAGGTATGTTCTATGTTGGGATTTGCAAGTGACATAATCGGGATGTAGTAAAGTAACGTAGTAGTTAGGTGCGAGATGTTAGGGAGCATAGAGAATGTAGTGTGGAGATTGCATCTGAAGAGGACAGTTTATGCTCATTTTCAACCACTTGTTGCCATTTGGGAATATTGCTCCAGTACAGTTAATGGTTTTATTTTTCAGGATTTCCTAAAAGCCTATATTTTGTTGTGAAATTTCTTAGTTTTCACTAGTTGACTCAAGTATTTATTTTTAAAGATTTTCTTAACTATGCAAACAAAATTAAAAATAAAATTTTTTAAATTTAAAATAAGATGTATTTATTGGGCTAGTGCTATGATGTGATAGATAAAGATGCATTCTGCAGTGCTGGCATCCCATGCAGGTGCCAATTCATGACCTGGCTACTCTGCTTCCAGCCCAGTTTCCTACTGATGTGCCTGGGAAAATAGAAATGATGGCCCAAATACTTGCGTCCCTGCACCCACATGGAAGCATAAAAGGCCTGGAAGAAATTCCTGGCCTCTGGCTTCATGCTTCAGACTGACCTAGCTCTGGCCATTGTGACCATTTGGAAAGTGAACCAGAGATGGAAGATCTCTCTCTGTGTGTGAAACTTTGCTTTTCAAATGAATAAGCCTATTAAAGAATATTGATTTATTTGTAAGAATAAGGGAGAGAGAATCTTCCACTCAGAGAGAGCCCTTCACTCCCCCGATGGCTGCAGTGGCCAGGGCAGGGCCAGGCTAAAGCCAGGAGCCTAGAGCTTTTTCTCGGTCTCCTAGATTGATGGCAGGGGTGGCAAAGTTTTGGAGGATGGACATATCCGAAGTTAGACACTGTGTATCAGCAAGGGACTATGCTACAAAACCTCAGTTTCCTGATCTGCAAAACACAATAAAGATTTTTCTACACAACTGAAATGGGAATTACACGGGATTGTAAATACAAAGTATGATATTCAGTGTCTTGTAGTGATCTTATTGGGGAATTTTTCATCTTTTTTTCATGAGAGGTGAGCGTTGTGGAAAACAGAAGGCTTCCTTAGTGATGGTCAGCCCTTAGAAGTTGCAGTCTTATTATCTCTGACCTTAGAACTCACCTATTTAGGTTTTTAGTGGTCTTCAGTTTTCTCTATTCCAAGAAAGAGGCCCCTGTACTTTGTCCCTCGCTAAGTCAGTCCTTAGGACCGATTTGGCTCCTTGTGGCAGAGGGGTATCTAGGTATAAACTCTAGCACATATCCTGAGCCTCTCCAGAAGAGTTCCCCAGCTGATGACTTTTTAGACTCAGACTCTTCCAGAGAAATGTCAAGGGGTGAAGTTGGTCGCTGGGAATACCAAAATCTTTCTGAACATTGGCCCAAACTGAGGTGAGCTGGTCTCAAGGAAGTACAAATCATAAATGAAGTTTAGCAGGGCTGGGATTCCAGCTCTGACCAACTTTGCCCTCAATCCTAGGCTTTTACAGGAGCTACGCTCTGTGTCCTGGCTACCTCAGGAGCCAGATACGTCCTATGAGCTCATCGACCTGCAGAAAGCTCTGGCCAAGCAGAACCACAAGGCTGTCCGGCTGCTGTGCCACTGCCTGAAGCTTTGTACATCTGTTCTTCATCTGGTAAGAGGCTTTGGTGTACTGTGAACTTTTCTTCCAAGCGGAGCTCCCTAGAACCCAGGCTTAATTTCAGTTGTGTCCCTCCTGGGATCCCCTGTGTGACCTGGACTCTGTACCTGGATAAAAGCCATTGTCCTGCCCAACAACAGCACCTCTGCTTTGTAGTGGATGTATCTATGACGAGAGAACAGAGGCTCTGTCTCAAACATTCCCTAAGGGTTTGTCCTGCCCTGAGAGCAGGGAGGAGAAGAAACCTAATAATGTCTATTTTGTTATTCACTTGTGCTGACATTAGAGAATTAGGGCATGAGGGAATTTAAGAAATGGAATCCTGATCTCTCATGCTTCTAGGCTTCTCTTTATACCTGTCTTACACCATTGGTAGGTCACTTTGGTTGGGAGAAGGCTGCAATGATGGTCCTTTCTAGTTATGCCTACGTCACATCTGTGGCCCATGTCCTCTGCCTGCAACCTTGGGAGACCCTAGTATGTACTTGTCTTTTGCTTGTGGTCTGTTAAAACAACCATGATTTGTTGTCAGGTGGGACTGAATGTCACACATGAATGTAGCTGTCACCATATGTAGATAGTCCAAATGTAGGAAAAAGGGATAACTCAGATTTCATGAAAAGTAAGAACAAATGTGAAGGAGGACCACATTGTCTGGCTTGCTCCAGGTTTGGGGTTCTGTGTGTTGTTCTAAACTTTATCAGTGATGGTTAATTACCAAAGACAGAATTTTGCAGTCTCAAAGATAACCTTGACTGCAGAATATTTCTGTTCCTAGGAGGAAGCAGTGTCTATTAAGGATTGCTTTTGCTCAGAATCTTAAATATTTATAAAGTCTATAAGAAAAACACTTTAAAAGAATTTTAAATAATTAGATACTGTTTTCTTTCCAGAATTGTCTATTTTCCTTATCTTATTCTGTTTTAGAGTAGAATAGCATTTATCTGTTTCTAGATTTCCTACCACTTTAAAAAATATATTTATTGGGCCTGGCGCAGTGGCCTAGTGGCTGAAGTCCTCACCTTGAATGTGCCAGGATCCCGCATGGGCGCCGGTTCTAATCCCAGCAGCTCCACTTCCCATCTAGCTCCCTGCTTGTAGCCTGGGAAATCAGTTGAGGACGGCCCAAAGCCTTGGGACCCAGCACCCATGTGGGAGACCTGGAAGAATCAGGTCCGAATCATTGGACTGAAGATCTTCCTCTCTGTCTCTCCTCCTGTCTGTATATTTGACTTTGTAATAAAAAATTTTTTAATGTGTTTATTTTACTTGAAAGAATTACAGAGAGGGAAGGAGCTACACAGAGATAAAGACAGAGAGAGAGAAAGGCAGAGAGAGAGATCTTCTATCTATTGGTTCACTCCCCAGATGGCCACAACAGCCAGAGCTGGAAGCCAGGAGCTTCTTCCAGGTCTCCAACTTGGGTTCAGGGACCCAATGCCTTGGGTCATCCTCTGCTGCTTTTCCAGGCCATTAGCAGGGAGCTGGATCAGAAGTGGAGTAGCTGGGACATGAGCCAGTGCCCATATGGGAGGCCAGTGGCATAGGCAGAGGACTAGCATGCTACTCCACTGGCTCCTATATTTCTTCTCATTTTCTAAAATGCCATATAATCTGGTGTTTTTAAGTTATCTTTCCATGATAGAATCTAGCCTCTATGATGGTGGACATCTTTGTTTTCCCTTCTGAAGTACACCAGGAATCTAGAACAGTATGTAGAAAGATGTTCAGTAGTAGCTCCACAGTTTCAGCCTTCAAACTTACCAGTGGCTCTGCATGTTTCATGCATCTGTACATCCATGTACATCATTTGTATCCATATAACCATATCCTGATCAACAGAGAATATTTCCAGCACCTCAGCAAGTTTCTTGGGGCTTTTCTTGTTAATAACACCACAAAGGTAACAGTCACTTTAACCAAAGATTAATTTTGTTTGACTTTAAATTTCATCTAAACAGAATTGAACACTAAATGTTGTTGCTTGTCTGACATTTTCTGTCAACATGATGTTTGTGAGATTGACCCATAATATTTTAGGTAGCATTGATTTCACTCCTTTGTGTTGCTGCTACTAATTCTCAGTCCTTGTCAATGGTGCTAAATCAAAGACTGAGGATAAAGGAAAGAAGGTTTAGCCTAATGATGGATATAGAGGTAACAGACTCGTGTCTAGAGCTATCATCCTGCTAAATGAGGATGTGTTAGGGTGTTTGAGAAAGCTACAGGGGAGAGTCAGGAATAAGAAGACTAAAGGATAGAGACAGCGGTTATGTTGGCCTCTACCCAGGGAATAAGGGACTGGTGGAAGTTACAGTGGTTATTTGGTCCAGTACATGTCTGTCTGTGTCCAGGCTCCTAATGTGTCAACAATGCTCTGCTCTTCGGGAGATTTTTTATCATGGCCATGAGGTCTGCAGTTATCCCTGCTCAGACCTGAATGTCCCTTAAATAAACCCCTCGAAACAATTCCACTCATAAGGGTGCTATCTATTGAAAAGCAAACTACCTCGTGAGTATTGTGACTGGAACCTCCTATATAGAGCAGACTGTATAACTCCTTCAATTAGTGAGCTAGTTTAGTGCGATCAAAAAGCAAGACAAAGATATGTTAAGCCTAGGGAGGGAGATTAGCACTGGGGCCTAATGCTGTCTAGCATTTGTATTCAAGGTACTGCTTTGAGCCTCAATTTCATTGCTATGTGTGAATATACCATAATTTATATATTTATCCTCCTATTGGTTAGCATCTGAGTTAAATACAGCTTTCTCTATTGTGGATAATGCTGCTATGAAAATTCTTGTACATGTCTTTTGTTGACCATAAATAGTTAGTTCTTTGTCATATATATTCTAAGAATTGAATTTCTGGATTAGAGAGTACATATGTGTTTTGTAGTGCCAAAAAGTCTTCTAAAGTGGTTGTACTCGTTTATATTCCCATCATATTCTCATCAACACTTTGTATTATCAGGATTTTAAGTGTTGTCCAGACTGACAGATATACAGTAGTATCTCAAGGTAATTTTAGTTTGTATTTTTATGATGTTAAACATCTTTTCTTATAAATCAGAAAGCTTCAAAAAGTTTATGGAGGACCTGATGTGGTAGCCTAGTGGCTAAAGTCCTCACCTTGCATGTGCCAAGATCCCATGTGGACACTGGTTTGTATTCCGGCTGTCTCCCTTCCCATCCAGCTCCCTGCTTATGATCGGGAAAAGCAATAGAGGATGGACCCAAGCCTTGAGCACCTGCACCTGTGTGGGAGGCCTGGAGAAGACTCCTGGCTCCTGGCTTTGGATTAGCTCAGCTCTGGCTGTTGTAGTCACTTGGGAAGTGAACCAGCAGATGTAAGATCTTTCTGTCTCTCCTTCTCTCTGTATATCTGACTTTCCAATTAAAAAATATGAATCTTGGGTCCGGCGGCATGGCCTAGCGGCTAAAGTCCTCACCTTGGCCGGGATCCCATATGGGTGCCGGTTCTAATCCCGGCAGCTCCACTTCCCATCCAGCTCCCCGCTTGTGGCCTGGGAAAGCAGTCGAGGATGGCCCAAAGCTATGGGACCCTGCACCCACGTGGGAGATCCGGAAGAAGTTCCTGGATCCTGGCTTCGGATCAGCATAGCATCGGCCGTTGCGCCCACTTAGGGAGTGAATCATTGGATGGAAGATCTTCCTCTCTGTCTCTCCTCCTTTCTGTATATCTGACTTTCCAATAAATAAATAAATCTTTTAAAAAATGTGAATCTTAAGACAATTTTGTGGAAAATGGAGTTATAAGATGATAAGGGGAATGTGCGTGTGTTCTAGCAGTTAAGTGACTGCTTGCGATGGCTTTCTATAATGTTGAGTCCTGGCCGTGCTCCTGATTCCAGCTTCCTGCTTAGCAGGGTAGCAGGTGATACCCCAGTAGCTGTTCTCTGCCACCCAGATGAGAGACCTACAATGAATTTCCAGCTTCAATGCTGGAATGCTTGAATGAAGAAGCAGGTGGATACTCTCTTTGTCTGTCTGTCTGTCGACTCTGTCTCTCTGCCTTATAAATAAAATGTGTTATGGAAAAGATAATGCACATTTTCCATGAACTTTTTGAAGTATCCTTGGACATACTAGATATATCCTGTACTATAAAATACCCGAGGTCCCTGTTCATTTTTAGTTGAGTTGTCTTGCTTCTTATTAATTTGTTGGAGGTTGTGAAATTATCAGAAAAGTGCAGTTTTGTTCTCTTTTTCCTGAAAAAGCTCCTAAAACCCTGTTAATTGGGACACTAGAATATCTGCTTCTTTTCTTCTCTTTTCTTTTTAAGATTTTTTTTTATTTGAAAGCGAGAGTTAAAGAGGTGGGGAAAAAGGGATAGAGAGAAAGATCTTCCATCTGCTGGTATACTTCCCAAGTGGCCACAATGGCCAGGGCTAAACCAGGCAGGATCTGGATGAACTCCTGGCCCCTGGGTTCTGTCATGGTTTGCCTCACCTTGGCATGCACCAGAGAGTGCTGGAACCTGACTCAGTCCGACCTGTCTACAGTTCCAGTTCATGCTGGCAGGTGCTGCAGCCTAGCCCAGCCCAGCTAGCTCCTAGTCCTAGCCCTAATGTGAACTAGCTGGCATTGTGGTCTAACCTGGCCTCTCTTGGACCCTGAGTTGGTATTTACAGTGGGCGCTGTGAACTGACCCTACCTGGCCCACCCGCAGACCTGACCCACACATATGCCATTGTGTACTGTAACCTGGTTTGGTCTGGGCTGCCCCCAATCTTAGTTCTTGTACTCTCCTGCAGGGACTGCTTCCTGACACAGGAGTTCCCTAAGCTCCTCTATCATGACATCTCCCCATCATAAATCTTTTATTTTTTAAAAAAGATTTATTTATTTATTGGAAAGTCAGATATACAGAAAGGAGGAGAGACAGAGAGGAAGATTTTCCGTCTGATGATTTACTCCCCAAGTGAGCGCAACGGCCGATGCTATGCTGATCCGAAGCCAGGATCCAG